TGTTGAGGTACCTACGCTGTTTATCTGGAAAATGTATGTTCAGTCTACGTATGGGCAAAACCCAACCTTAAGGAAGAGAATTCATTTCGTGTGTGAGTGTATGGAGATGGATGCGTGTGGCTGTGGGTGTCTGTGCATGATGAAAGCATCCACACGAACACCCAAACCTACACCTGCATCTCACGCCCAAACCCACCGGCGTCTGTTTTGTTCTAAATTGACAAAAGCTTCTTGCCCCTTAAATTGTCGCAAAACAAATCATTTTAAAATATTTAAAATACTTCTAATGGAACTTGACGAGGCATCCACAGCCGACGGCCATTATGATCGAATTAAGGCTATTTGTGGACAAATCAGGCTCGTAAGTTTTCGCAAAAGAGGTTTCGATTTATATGGTCTCAGCAATTTAGATGGATTCGCTTTTAACACCGATACGATTTGCACGCGTTACTCATTTCAACCTAGTTATTCATAAGGTAGACCAAGAAGTCAAATCATATCTTCAGCGGACATCTTTAGGCGTTCAAAATATGGTTCCAATTGACGTCATTGCAGATGGCAATTGTCTCTATAACTCTATCGTATGTTTGACTAATAATACAGTTTTGATATCTTGCGAACCGAGAGGTAGGTACTTCCAACTTTACTATCCAGTTCTGTTAATACAATCTTTCTAGTTCAAAATGTAACAGAACTCGTAAAAAATGAAACTCTCTACAGCAATCGCCTTGCACATATTGTTGGACCACTCAATGAGGTGATAAAAATATCACCCATCATTTTTCATTCTCGGAACTTTATGAAATCGCAGCCTTAAGCAATGTCCTCCAATGCAATATACGAGTTATATATCCTAGAATTGATTATCGACCTGATCTAGACATCATGAATAGTACGTTTGAGCATGCTCAATCCAGTATTTCATCTAAAACAATTTATATATCCTGGTCACATACTCAAAGTGAAAGAGACACAAGTAAAAGTAATGTTGGTAATTGGACACCTAATAATTCCGTACCACTTTTACTTCCGTCAAGTGAGTCTCAGAATCAAAATAACCTGACTGAAGCGAAAGCCATTGGTTCAGGCTTGGGGAGTTTAATATTTTAGTACAGAGCTGTTTACATAAAAAACGCACTTTCACTTACAGACGCACAGTGGGGAGCCAGGCGGACATATGCGAAAATTTTCTTTCCCAGAATCTAACCGTTTGTGTAGACACATGCATATCTAATCTATCATTTCCTAAAATAGCGGTTCTCCAAGTTTTATAGAGTCCAAGAAAAGAGCCAGCCAAGGCTTGGGCCCAGAAATCAGCATAAATAAAGAAAGTCAAACCGCTCGGCAATATAACACAATATTCCACAAGCAAACAATATCGCAAAAAACTTGTTCACCTATGGACTTTATGATAAAAAAAATTATTGTAATCTAATTTAAAATAGAGTAGAAAACCAGGAGCCTCTATGCCGAAAACCTACCCGAAAACCTACCGTTCCGTATATTAAAAACCCTACAAAGGGGTAACGTCCGATCGAACTGAAATTTTTACCAGATACCCCTGCCTATGTATCCTAATTATGGTAGTAGCGTGAACTCGTGAAACTTTTCCTAGGCTATTCTACAGGATTCCCAAAAACTCATGCTTTTTGGTCGAAAATCCGATTTTATGCTTCCATATAACGTTTTAAAGAAAAATTAAGGTGATATTTGGAATCAGCTCGTCGAGCTGCATCAGACCATATATAAAAAGAGCCATTTTTGTCGAAGTCATTTTTGGCAAAAATTTGGCCGAAACTAGCTGGTATGACCGGAAATTCAGTTTTAGGCATTCATATTACATTTTGAAGAAAAGCTAAGGTGATATTCGGAATCAGCGCATCAAACTACATCGAATGATATGTAGCTTAACATATTTTTCAAAAAAAAAGATTTTTCGAAAAAAAGGCTGAGGTCCCCCCGAGCCATATTTTTCGAAAAATTTTTTTTCTTAAAAAACCTATTATTTTCTTAAAAACGATTTTCGGAGCGATATACTGTCATTTATAGTCAAATGAAAGCCATTCCTAAGCAAAAAAACCGCATGTCCGCCTGCTTATGCGAAAGCTCCCCACTGTGAGACGCCAACTAATTTGACAACGAAGAACAACGTACTAACTCAAATTCGCATTCCTGAATTTAATGCGGAGAATGAAAAAATTCAACAATTTCAAACATCATCGACTTATTCCACGGTAAGTCAGGAGATTGCAACAACTTCTCGAACTAAACGAAGACTACAAGCAAGTGAGACTCACACGAGCGCGAAGAACACGAATATTGACAAGAGACGATTCCAACCTTGTCAAACGATGGCTGTTAAACGAGCTCAAGCTACATTGGAGGAAGCTGAAAGACAGCGGATGCTTGCAAGGGAAAGAAGCGCTACCAGAAGAGCTGTCTTTACACCCGAACAACCTGAACGAGAGCGTAAACTTGCACGAGAAAGAAGTGCAACTAGAAGAGCTGCTTTAACATCAGAACAGGTTGAACATGAACGTACCATGGCTTGAGACAGAAGTGCAGCTAGAAGAGCTGCTTTAACAGTGCAAGAAATCGAAGAACAGCAAGAGCTAACTCGTGAAAAATTTGCAGCATGGAGAGCTACTTTTACATCGAAAGAAATCCAGCTACAACGAACACTTGCTGTCGAACGAAGTATGAATAAGCGAGCTACTGCATCATCAAAAGAAGCTGAATAACAGTGTATGGTAGCTTGCAAACGAAGTACCGCAAGACAAGCTGCTTACACATCTCATGAACTCGAAGGGCAGCGTGCATCTGCTCGTCAAAGAAAGTGGCTTCGATAAAGTAACAAGCACCAACATGAAAGTAACGACTTTGAATGGCCAAAACCTATTGATACTGAACGTAAGAAAAACTGTTTAAAGCACTTTATTCAACATATGTCGATGAGTTCTCTGCAAGTAGGTGTTTGCGGTATTTGTAATGTTCGTTGCTACAAACGTGATTTCTACCATATACCGTTCAGTAAAATACCGTCTATTGAATTACTGAAAGTACCCGACGATTTTTATGAGATAATTTCGGGAATGCAGGAAACGTACCAATTCCAGTCACATGATAAGCTTAACATGAGTGGTGATCTTGCCAAGGCGTTGATTCAGAAAGAAAGAGCAGCAGGTTAGTCTCGCTAATACGTAAACTAATACAGTAAATAATTTTTTTAATTATAGATACGCATGCTCAATCAACAATGAATAAACAGGCGTTTACTTATGTAAACGGTATCGTTTTTTATGAAGCAGGATTGCATAAAACTGTTGAGAGAAAAAAACGATATTCGATACACTGCGATATTTGTTCGGAGTGTTGGTCGTCTCTAATAAAAGGGAAAGTACCGAAATTTTCGCCTGCCAACAAAATATGGGCTGGAGATGTCCCAGAAGAACTACAAGGACTAACAATTCATGAGGAAAAACTGATCTCTCTTTATCGGCACAATGGCTGCATTGTCAAGTTACATTCGTCTTTTCATTCGACAAGTACAGTTCAGTAAGCTTTAAGGAGGAATTGCATAAGTTTTCCCCAAGAAGTTATTAACGTAGCTACTACCTTACCACTAGATTTACATGATCTATGTGATTCTCTAAAGATAATCTTTGTTGGATGTCGTCCTCATCAACGAAACCAATTAAAAAATGTTTTGACCGTTCGGAAAAAGAAAGTTTTCGAAGCACTTCAATGGCTTAGACAGAATAATGCTCTATATCGTAATGTTACAATTAATCAATCAATAATCAGCAAATTACCTGACGATGATGTACCGGAGTGTTTGTGGGCAACTATGGAAATTTCTACTAATGTAGAAGCAGCTGAAAATGAAAGAGCAAGTTACATTCCTGATCCGTTGACCAATGCATCTGAATTTAACAATAGAACAGCTATACCTATAATCTCAAGGTAAGACAAAGAGACATGTAGATATGCTTGCACTAATATTGTTTATGTTATAGTGCTGTGTTAGATGTCAATGGTACCAAAGTGTCGTCTGATGAAGTTGCTAAACATCTTTTAGAACGAATCAAAGCACAAGTGCCAGAAAAAACACACGGAAAAGACACCGACCAAAACTCTAAACAAGACACTGTATACATAATTCCTCGTGGCAACAAACCGGCCAATGAATATTCTAATCCAAATCTTTTATTAGGAATCTTTCCCACCTTATTCCCATATGGATGTGGTGGGCTTGAGGATGGTTCTCGACCAATTCAAATCAATTTTCGTGAGCATCTCAGATATCTTCTTTCGTACACAGATCGCCGCTTTGAAGAACACTACTCATTTATATTCCTTGTCTTCAATATTTTACAACGCCGAACAGCATGTTTCCACGCCCAATTAATGACAACAAGATCATGGTTTCAACAATCTGCACAAGTTCGTAACTCATTGAGTTCTGAAGATGCAGCAACAGCCCTTATTAATATCTCAAAAGCGCCTTATTCAAAAGTTACTGACGAGAGAATAAATACGTTGATGAAGCACATCAAAATTATTGGTGGTCACGTCATGGGTTCAGCTCATTCCCGATCAGCTCTTCGTACGAAAATTCATTCTTTATGTTTTTATCTTGGTCTTCCTAGCCTTTTCCTCATAATCAATCCGGCCGACATCAATAGTCCAGTGGCACTTTACTTTGGAGGTGTCGATCTCGATCTTGATAACGTTCTGCCAGAAGTCCTGAGTACAAGTTATGAGCGTGCTCAAATTGTCGCGACGCACCCTGTTGCAACTGCAAAGTTCTTCAACTGTTTAATAAAAAGCATTTTGAAAAGCCTACTACTGAGCGGTGTACTTGGTCCTGCAAAAGCGTATTTCGGCACTGTAGAAAGTCAAGGAAGAGGATCGCTCCATTTACATCTCTTGATTTGACTCAATCATGAATATACTCCAGCACAATTGAAAGAAAATATTCAAAATCAAGATTTTCGTGAAAATTTACTAAAATATTTAGAAGATATTATAAAAGAAGATTTAGATTCGTTTCGAGGTAATATATTTAACACTGTTCGAATCTGTCATTTGAAGTTGTTACATTTGCCTACTTGATGCTGTTTTACACCGTAATAGTGCATCACTGCCTTACCTTGAACTTGAGCTTTCAGAACATTTTAAAAATTTTCATTAATCCAACGCATACTTCATTCCGATTACTTATTCTTACTATGTATTTATGAGATTTATATTTTTTGTACTTTTGAATATCAATATTCTTTTTTAAGATGAAACCAACGACGGAACAAGTACGACAAGCGATGATAGAACATTAATTGGTGAGCTTTGAAGCTTTTAGTAGATCTTTAATTATAATTCTCACTTCATCTTAGGACAAATTGAATCGACAGCAAGTGAAGTTATACCACCATGTCTCCCGACACCAAATCCTGCATTGGAAGGCTTCGATCAAACGTTTCGCAAAGATGCAGTTCAATTGGTCGAAACCTGCAATATTCACAAGCATTTTGCAGCTTGCTATAAATATTCTAAAGGCAAAAATGAGAGTTCAAAAATTTGTCGAAGGCGCATGCCACATGCACTAGTGAAGGTTTCTAATATTGATCCTACGGCGGGACAAATAACTATGCGTCGATCGCGCCCGTGGATCAATAACTTCAACGAATGGCTCTTAACTGCATGTCGATCAAACATGGACATTAAGTTCATCTGGAGTGGAAATGACGCTAAAGCATTAGTTTACTATGTAACTGATTATGTAACAAAATCTACTCTGGCCTTCTATCATATGTTCGCGCTGGCACAACAAGGCATCAAATCTATCGAGCATGAACGAATTTCTAATAGCACAGATAATATTGTTGGCAAACCGCGCAAACTAGTGTTACGCTGTTTTAATATGATTGCTTCACAACAAGAAGTTTCAGGTGTTCAAGTTGCGTCATATCTAATGAACTATGGTGACCACTACACTACACATACGTTCAAAAATCTTTTTCTCATTTCAATCGAAAACTATCTACAAACAGAACTAAATAAAGCATGAATTAACGAAAAAGAAATTGTTGAAGAGAGAATAGATGGTAGAACTTTTTAAAATAATTCTATAGATTTTTAATATGTAGTTTTCTAGAGACTTCAACGTCTTTCTACGATGAACAAGGAGAAGATAAAAGCGAAATCGAAGAACAATTTTCATTAGAACCCACAAAAACCAACAACGGCGATCAGTATGTCTTGGTCAATACTCGTCTTGACTATCAGCATCGATCAAAGGATCTAAGTGCATTGTGTTTATATGACTTTGTGAGCCATTTTCACAAGAAGGCTATCGATAAATCGGATCGTCATTTACTAAAAACTGTAACCGATCCTCAGGGCCAACAATTACCTACAGAAGGAACGAAAATGAATGAACGTCATACATTTGACAGCGTACATCCACAATCAACATCTCATCTCATAATTAAACGTTCCATTCCAGTAGTACCAGTTCTGACAGGTCCTCAAATACCTCGCCGCGAACGAGAAGAAACACATGAACGTTATTGTCGCGCGTTGTTAACATTATTCATGCCATGGCGATCAGTCCAGAACCTTTGTGCAACGAATGAGACATGGTCTGAAGCATTGGAAGCTCGAAGGCTGTTGATCTCTCCCAACTCGCTTAAGATTATAGAAAATATAGAACTTTTGCACGAATGCAAACACGATCGGGATGAACATCTTCATCAAGTTCTTTTAGAAGCCCAAAACGACAACAGCATTGACCCTATTTTGATGCCTAATTACTATGAAGGCGACGAAAATGCAGAAGAAGACGATCCTGAACAACTTTTGAAAATGCTCTCCATCGTAAATGAGATCACGACAAACACTTACTCTGCATTGGCAGCTACTCAAGAACAACGCTATGTTCATGATGCATTACAAGCAATTGATAATACAGATAGATTTGCATTACTAAATGGTGAGTTAATTACTATTATATTTCGAAAATATTTTGTTTTGATTTAGACAGCAGACACATTTGGCACCAAAATAATTATGGCACCATACACGACGTCCACACATTTGTCGTAGCTCGCAAGCATCATACGACCATGATTAAAGAGTGGAAACGTGATATTGAAGCCCGACGAGACGAAACAAGGAACTATTTAATTTCAGGTGAAGATACTCTGGAAGTACGAGATGATGAAACACAGATTGAAGTCGTAGGTGCTGAAATTCCAACAAGCCCAATTAAAACGAAAGCTACGAGAGTCCTACCTGTAACTGCAACCAATTTGGTTTTATTTTCCACAAAACAGAATATTGTCAAACAATTTACACTAAATACTCAGCAAAAATATGCTTTCATGATTATAACTAGTCACTTAGATGGCGAAAATCATGCTCATACCGGTATATTTTCTTGATTTTGTTATTGAAAATTTTGAATAGTCTTGATATTTAGATACTATCGATAATCAGTTATTAATGTGCATACCTGGTTGCGATGGTACTGGAAAATCTCAGTTAATTCGTGCAATTACCAAGTATTTCCAAGTAACTAAGAGGGGCAAGATGTTGCGTAAACTGGCGCCAACGTCTATAGCAGCAGCTGAGATTGACGGATTAACTATCCATTCATTTTTAGGTGAAAGTCGCAAAAGCACTAAAAAGAAAAATACCCGTACATTTAGACCTGGCGATATGAAATTAGAAAATGAATGGCGTCATGTGAAGTACTTGATAATCGATGAGATGAGGATGGTAGGACTTAGTCTCTTAGCTCGTCTGAATCGAATAGTGAAAACAGCCAAGCACGTAAATTCTGAGATACCTTTTGGTGGTGTCAATGTCATTTTCTTCGGCGACTACCTTCAATATTCTCCTGTTTTGGACAAGCCTCTCTACTATAGATGCTCATCGACACAGCAAATTACAGAATGTCAGATAGATATAATGTGTGCACAGAAGGTCATGTCTGAAGTAAACTGCGTTGTTGAATTAACTCAGCAAATGCGGACTGAAGACGTAAGATATTTGGAACTTTTAAATAGATTAAGAAATGGATACTCGACAATAGAAGATTACCAACTTTTGTGTACGAGAGTCATAGGAAATCCAACACTTCAAGTATCTCTACAATAAAAGCCATGGAACGAAGTATGCACACTCATTTTCTCTGTGTATCACATTACTTTTCTTTCAATAGGCTCCAATACTGGTTTTTCGGAATACGCTACCGACTCAAATTAATAATAGAGCTGTCTTAAACAAAACAATGGAAATGGGACTTACCCCAATTGTATGCATTGCTCAAGATTATATTCAAGGAAAACCAGTGGATGATCTACGATTATGTAAAGTCATACTTGAACTACCTGACAATAAAACCGAACATCTTCCAGGGTATCTGCCTCTCGTACCAGGAATGCCAGTTTTACTCACAGAAAACATCGCTACCGAACTGGGACTCTCCAACGGTACACGTGGAATCTTTTGTCAACTTGTATACGATGAATCACCAGAAGATGTTCGATACCAGGATAAGAATTTTCCACCAAATACCAAGTTTATAACGCAACCAAAGTACGCTTTAGTAGAATTTCCTGGTTGCAAACTTAATACCAAACTTGCTGAACTGCAGTCCAAAATAGTTCCTATAGCTATTAGTGAAAAAACATTCTTGTTCGACGCCAAAGAACTTCTTCCAGAAAATGTAGCAAAAGCAGCCAAAATAAATAAGAAAACAACAAAACTCACCATCAAACGTAAAGCACTTCCGCTTATACCCGCATACAGCATGACAACACATAAAAGCCAAGGCCAAACACTCGGTAAAATTATCGTCGATCTGGTGATGCCGCCTGGTCCAATTGAACTCGCATCGGTTTATGTTCCATTATCTCGTGTAAAGAGACTTGACGATTTACTAATCATACGTCCATTCGAATTTGGAACACTTCAAGTTAAACCATCAACGGCCCAAATAGAAGAACTTAAAAGATTAGATAAAATAGCACAAAGTACTCGGAAACGTTTTCAATTCATTGTTTAAAACAACAACATCCCAAGAGTGCCGTGATCTTCAGGCAAACCATCTAACTGATAAAAAAAAACTCTATATTGCATGCTCGAAATCTGTCCGTTATACAATTATAGCCATTAGATCATTTGTAAAACCTCTATGAAACTCTCTTTGAAATAAAAGCCATCAAGATAAAAGAGAATGAAAAGAATTTGAACAGTGTAAACCCGCTGTATCCGTAGGAAGTCACTATTGCTTGCGCATTCAATCCGAATCCCAAGCAGCATTTGACAGCTATACACTACAACAAAAGCTACATTTCACACGCGCCATATCAGAAAACTTTCTTAAGTACGGATTTCAGAAAGGACCAGTAATGACAACATAGTTTTCTTACCAACATCGCTGCTAATACTCGCAGTGCACTTTCATGGGACCTCGTCGTAATAAACCGACAAACTATATCGAGAACTAAAGGTAATCGAATGACCCTCATTTCATTAAATAAACTTCCATAAACAACAAGCATAGTAGCATTAGCTACCACACCCCACTAAAAATTCCAGAAAATATCGAAGAATACTGCCTCAATAGGTTTTCCAACCATCCTCAAATCTAAACTTTCAGTTGCAAAACATATAAGGAGCATATAGGTGCAGGATCAGTGTGTGCCTCGCTGTGGGATGCATAAGAACACGTTTCATTTAATCCCAAGTCCAAACACACACCAACACCCCAACCCATCCAAACGTACCCAACATCTACACCCACACTCACGCACACCCAGACCCGCACACTCACATCCACAGCCACCCACACCAATATATACACCCACACTCACCACAACCACACTCCATCAAAACCACACCCCATCAAAACCACACCCTACATCATACCCCACTGACACCTACACCCACACTCACACCCTCACCCACACCCACACCCATTCACCCTCAAACCCACTCGCATCCACTCACACCCTCACATCCACACCGAAATGGAAACCTTAAATTGGTGCAACTCCGAACTCACAAAATCTCATTGGTATAAAAGTAACGCTCGTCCGGGGACTCGCTCAGCTCTTTCTCCTAGAAATGGTGTTTCTGAACTATCAACAAACCATTTACTTGTACAATTTCAAAAACTGCGAACATACAAGCAATCAAACAATTTATTTTTGCTAGACTCTTCTCTACGAGAAAGGGAATAAAAATTCTTTTTTGTAAAAAAAGTGGCCCTTTGTTTAAAAGAATGATCCACAAAATAATTTCAAAAAACTGACCTCAGATTCGAGTTCCTCGACCTCGATTACCTTTGACCAAGCTTTATAAAAAAAATTATTTTTAGCAAAAAAAGTGATTCTTTGTGTAGAAACATCGATCCAAAAAAAAATTTCAAAAAATTAACATCAGATTCGAGTTCCTCGACCCTGATTACCCTTCGGTCAACCCTTATAAAAAACAATTTTTTGTAAAAAAAGTGATTCTTTGTGTAAAAAAATTGACCCGAAAATAATTTCAAAAAACTAACATCAGATTCGAGTTCCTCGACCCTGATTACCCTTCGGTCAACCCTTATAAAAAAATTTTTTTTTGTAAAAAAAGTGATCTTTTGTGTAAAAAAAATCGATCCGAAAAAAATTTCAAAAAACTAACATCAGATTCGAGTTCCTCGACCCCGATTACCCTCCGGTCAACCCTTATAAAAACGATGATGTGAGAGGTCAAAAAAACATTTTTTCGTTCTGTGCGAACGACGAACGAACGGACGGACGGAGTCACGAACATACGAACCTTGCTCGGTGTATGACCCTCCTTTCAGTAGAGGGAACTAATTTCTAATAACTGTTCTATGATCGCATCAATCAAAGATGAAAATGCAGTTAAACTGACAATAGATGATATCAACAGAACTTTTACCGCACTAGCCGATCCGTCAACATAGCCTTCAAAATGAGCTGCATTAATATTTGATAAGATGACACAGAGGCGTGTGTAGATTTCAATTCAATAAGCAGCGCACAAAAATCAAGTAATCAACTAAATAACTGACTGAAATTGGTATAA